CGCCGCCAAACCTTCAACACCACATTCCCTAAACAGTACCCTAAACCCTAAACCGTCAGTAGTGTTCAAGACAAGCAGCCGGCAAGGTTGAGTGCAGTACCATCCGGAAGGTAGCCGATATCATTGCCTCAGGGTCCAAGGATCGAGATGATTGGGTGTTAAAGCCCAAAAAGGGTTTAGGGTTTAGGGTTAACTGCAATCTGAATGGTATTTGGGACCTAAAGCCCTAATATTCCTCAAAAATATTGCCTCAGGAACTATTCCGTGGAAAGTAATAGGTGCCTTTTGGGAACCCCATCAACTTCCCTACATTACGCCCCTGTCCAGCCAGTTTTGTCCATTTCATTTTTCATGTTCTTGTTCATTTGATTCTTCATTCTTGGGGTTACCCAAATCCTTGTGTTGTAGAGCCCTCAGTGACCCATGCATAATAAGAGTACCCTTTTTCCTACTGTTCAGTTGCGCTAATAAGGCCCCAACATAAAGAGTGCAAAAGGGTGGTACTGGGATACCTAGTCAATATACATTGAGCCAAACTGGAGTCAGGGGTTAGGTTGACGACAATTGTAAGCAATATGAGCTATAGTCTGACCTCCTAGAATAACCCCCATAGTACTCCTCTATATAATCTCCAAAGGAGTTTAGACTATAGCTCATATCAGCAATGGTACAACAAAAGTCCGTTCTCGCGATTTCCTGGAAATTCGGTGTCCGTAGGATGAAGCGGAACTTCTAAAAAAGAAAACCCTAAGCCCTAAATAGTAGTTTCCATTTTCTTTTCCATTATCCCAACATAACCCCTATATAACCCCAATATATACCCTATGATACTGTAGTAGTTTCCATTTTCTTTTCCATTATCCCAACTGGAGGATCTTATTGTGATATACTATAGATACCCCTACCTGAACCCCAAAAGTATGTAGAATAATGGCCTTTTGGGCTATATTTGGGGGTTTAGGGCTACTATCTTACATACTTTTGGGGTTCAGGTAGTTTGGAGAAAGCCGTTTTAGGGAGCCTGGGCATGCTTTGATCAGCCAAGCCGCTGAACTCCAAATCGGCGAACGCATCCCGCTGGAAGGTGTATGCGAATCCAATGCTATGCCTGAAAAATCAGGTAAACCCTAGGATTCAGGTTTTAGGGTTTAGGATTCAGGGCCTAGGATTTGGGGTGTAGGGTTTGAATCCAATGCCATGCCTTCCAAAGGGCTTCTGGGGTCTGCAATGCTCACGGTTCAGGTGATGTGTAATTCGGGCCCAATGGATTTTTGGGGGCTCGAGTCATCTACAATGTGAATACGTGGAGCCCTGGAGAATGTTCATGGTGTGCCGGCTCCTACCCTAAACCCTGAACCCATGTCATGGGCAGCTAAGAAGCACCTGGACCAAAGGCAGGGCAACAGGTAGGAAAAACAAGGGACTTACATCTAGCTATAGTCCCCCTTAAATAGATAGAATATGAAGTAGAGTCTAAATTCCCAGTATCCCCCTTAATAACCCCTATAACAGTTGCCTATATAATCCCCTATATAACCCCCCTTTAAGTTTAGACAGTAGCTCATATGAGGTAGATGGGGATCTTTCATAATATGCCCAAATCCATATTCTATGTACTTAACGGGGACTCTATTACATGCCAAGCCTTTGGGATCCGAAGTAGCTATGGTTTGGGGTTTAGGGTTTAAGGTTGGTAGGCTCTAGGGTTCAAAGGTTTATAGGGTTTAGGGCGTAGGGTTTAGGGTCTTTAGGGTTTAGGCTTTGCCCGAACTAGTTAAAATGTTTAGACTGTTGATCCCAGAGTGGGTTCACATATTCGACTAGTATAGACTTTGAAAAAAATCTCTTCCGGCAAGTTGTTCAAGCCTGAATTCATGTGAATTGTAATGTAAACTCCTCAAAAGGGGTTATACGGGGGATTATACAGGGGACTATTATATGGGTTATTAAGGGGGATACTAGGAGTCAAGACTATAGCTCATGTAAGAGCACGACATCGCAATGTACGGGTTGCACTTCGTTGGCTACGCTCGGTAACCCTGAACCCTAACACGCAGAAGAAGACCTTGTAACGCACGGTTTAGGGGTTCAGGGTTTAGCCCCTGAATAATCAAGCTCATCATTTTTGAGAATCCCTATTTACGTATATGGTAGAAACTACCGCAAAAATTCTTAGAATCACTTTCCCATACTTATACTAAACCCCTCAAACCCGCTCCCTTACATTAAAAATCGTAATATCCACAGTCGACAAGGCCCATAAACCCTCAACCCTAAATCCCAAACCCTAAAATCCACCGGTTTCCTCTTTGATACATCTGAACCTTCCAATCTGACAAAGGAAAACTGAACCTCTTGTAACCTCCCAGGTTTAGGGTTTAGGGTTCAGGGTATAGGGTTCCTAATAGCAACCATTCACCGTGATAGATCATGATGCGATATTTGGGGGGGGTATCGTTGGTAGCGGGAGAGACCCTACACCCTAAAGCCTAAGCCCTAAACCTTGACGCTACATCCTAAACCTTAACCCCAAAATCCTAGAACCTAAACCCTAAATCCCAACCCTCAATCCTCTACCCTAAACCTTAAACCCTATAGCTGAGGACAGGAGGAGATAACGCTCAGCCCTAAACCTTTACCTAGAAAAGTGTAAACCTCGTCTTTGACCATCAACCCCAGCAAAGTTTTGGGGTTTACGGTTTGTCGGTCTAGGATTTGGGGTTTAGGGCTTAGGGTTGGGGAGTTAAGGCCTTTGCGGTAGCACAGATGTAAGTTGGCATGTCAGTACGGATTTCCGCGCAACTTGATATGATGTAGTACAATACCAACCCAGCGCAAAAAATAACACAAAAAGAAAAACGCTCGAGAAGGCATGTCAAGCGTAAACCCCGTGTGGGCCTTAAACCCAAACTGTCATGCTAATATAGTAGCTTCCATTTTCTCTAACATGCTCCCAAATATATACTTAAACCCTGCTGGGAACTGCTCACCCGGGGGTGTCCTTAAGTCTAAAGTCTCAACCTCAAATCCTAAACCCTAAACCCTAAATCGCCTAAACCCCTAAACCTTAACCCCTAAATCGCCTAAACCCTAAATCCTAAAACCAAACCCCTAAACCTTAAAGCCTAAATCGCCTAAACCCTTAATCTTAATCCTTAAATATCCTTAAATCCTCAACCTTCAACCTGGCCTCACATTCTTCGCGGGTGTTGCTGAGGAGCCAACAAAGGCCGCAGCAACTACTGGTTGGCCTTTTAGGGGTTGTGGGGGTTCAGGGTTTAGGGGTTTAATTAGGGATTAGGGGTTTTGGGTTTAGGGTTTAGGTTTAGGGTTTATGGGTTTAAGGTTTACAAGAACATTCATTAGTGGATTAGGGTTTTAGGTTTAGGCTTGATTTTTTGAGCTGAAAGGTTTTGACTCCTAACCACGTTTGCGCTGGAACCCCCGAACCATGGCCTTCAACGCGGACATCCGCCATAATGCAACAATAACGTATCTGGCGAACCCAAAGCCCGTATTTTAGGGGGCTGGTTTAGCGTTCAGGCTCCAGAGGAGTTTGCGTGGATAGTTCAGGGACATGGGCTGTGGGGCTCCCGCGGAATTGAAGATGAGGTTTTGTGGGTGTTGGTGTTGGGTTCTAGGAATTTAGGGTTTAGGGTTCAGTGTTTAGGGTGTGGGGTTCCAGAAGTTTGGGGGCTGGGTGTGCAGGGGTTAGACTTCTCTCCTACTGTTACGCGGAAGTTTTTTTTTAAGGTCCGGCTGTAGGGCTCCATCTAGACATCCGGCTGAGCAGACCCAGCGCTACCAGAACAATACAACTAAACCTGGGAAAACTAGCTCGTCAACTGTCGACTGTGCAGGCGTCATTTTTCCTAAGTCCGGCTGTAACGTCTTGCCCTCCAAGCGCTGAACTTGAAAGATGTGAGGACGCTCCACGCGAGAGCTTGATGTTGAGTCAAAACGTGAGGACGCTCCACACGAGTGTTGGCTTTGAAGCAACAATGTGAGGACGCTGCATGCGAAGGCGTGACTTTGGATGCTGCAAGCGAAGGCCCGATTTTGAATCACAAATGTGAAGACATGCCAAACGAAGCTTGATTTTAAATCAACATGTGCCGACACTCCACACACGAGCTTGATGTTGGATGATTAAAGAAGGAACGTTCCATTCGCCATTTGCAAACAAAATGATCCGCATAAACCTCCTTTATTGACAAGATAGTGATCACGTGATGTTCTTTGCGGCAAGCAGGCATGGATATCTTAAAAAAAACTCACTTTGAAAGATGGGAGGACGCTCCACGCGAGAGCTTGATGCGAGGACGCTCCACACGAGAATTTGGCTTGAATCAAAATGTGAGGTGCTCCTTACGAGAGCTTGACATTTTTCAAGCATGGATTGCTGAAAAAGCGTGGAGGGATTAGAGAGGCGCAGCCCCATTTTTGCAATGAATGCGATCCGCGCAGCCCTCCCTGACTACAAGCATGGTAATGACATGATCTTGTTTACGGCCAGCATGGATTGCTTGAAAACACTGGGGGGGAGGCGCAGCACCAGCAATGTGCAAACAACATGATCCGCATGCGCCGCCCTTCCTGCAAATAGAGCCCTTTCCCCTACATCTGTAAACACAATGACCCACATGACCCTTCCAGAGCTGCAACCGTAGTGATTACGGCAAGCATGAATGAATAAAGGCGGGAGGGTTGGAGGGGCGTGGGGCTGAGGGCCCCCGCCTTCGGAAAAGAATTGAGGATGGACTTTCACCAGAGTTACGCCTGAAGCCTCGCCACTCGCCAAATTCAAGCGCGAGGTTGGGGGCGGGCGGTACAGCCCCCGGATTTGATCCACCGACCAGCCCGGAAACGATCAACCGACAAATGGACCGTCAAGAGGCCAGGCAATGCAGCCAGGTTGTAAAATTGACCGTTCACAACATAATTACAAAACAAACCTACGAACTTTCAGCTGATCAATCAATCACTGTGCACAGTCACAATCACACAGCAAGCTTGATCAATCCTCTGTGCACTCAACACAGTGACAGCAATCCGAGCGAAACACCATTGATGTCATTCATGTATGCGCAGCATGAAGCATACAGTCAGGGCCATTGTGGGAACAAGTGCCATCCAACACCTAAGACTTAAGAAAAAAAGGGCAGACCAACCAACCGACCGGGAATTTTCCAGGTATTACGGCCAGACCTGAGAAGAACGAAAACGGCGACTGACCGGAAACGACCGACCGAACGACCGTCCGGCAAGAGGCCAGCTCTCTCAGTCCGACCTCCACTGACCAGGCAACACAGCCAGACCTAGGACAAAAAACACAAGGCCGCCTAAACAATACGGTAGTTTCCCAAAATAAGGGGACCCCAATATAGACCCCCAAAATACTACAATCCTTATTATAAGGACCCCCAGAAAGGGTACCCCTAATTATGGGAAACCCCCAATACTCCCTGACCCCTAATCCCAGGATCATGGTCTGGTCTCATCATGTTGAAATTGCGGGTCTAGCTTTCTCTTGCCTACTGGCGAGATCAAAGTGATTCTAGAAGTCGGAGATATGGCAATGTTGGGACAGTTTTCTAAAGAAAAGGCCGGGTACAATTTGCACAAAGGTAAAGAACAAAAAGCTTAAGCCACCAGCCCCCCCCCCCCAGGTAGCCCCCAAATCCCCTTCCACAAAGCAAGAGAATAAAACAACTTAAGTCAACGGCCATCACAATATACCGAGGGATACTTGGGAATTCTAGCTTCGTTCTTCTGCTTCTTGCCTACTGGTCTAACAAAGCAAATTCCAAGGCCTAAAGATTAAGGCCCTGAGCCTCTAACCCCTAACCCCTAAACTTCTGAAACCCTTAATTCCTGAATTCCAAAAAGTCCCCACCACTATATGGCCTCTAGCCCCTAGATCCCCAAACCCCAAACCTCTCAAACCCTAATTCCCTTTCTCATCTACCTAAACCCTAGAGCCCTAAACCCTAAATCCCTGAAACCCAAAAACCCTGAAACCCTGAAACCCTGAACTGTTACAACCCTAAACCCTGAATTTTTAAAACCCTGAATTCCTAACATCCTGAATCCCTAAACCCTCAAACCCCTCAACCCGAGCTGCTGGGGGTTGCCGCAGGGGCCGCCGCAGGTGTGGGGGCCGAAGCAGCCGCAGCCGGCGGAGGCATCTTCACCTCCATTCCCCTAAACTGACTCAGGTTTAGGGTTTAGGGTTTAGGATGGTTTACGGTTTAGGGTTTAGGGTTCAGGGAATATGTCTACCTAGACCCTCCTCCTACCCTCTATTAAGGCGTAAGTACCACCTATGAGGGGCCATATATCCTTCATTAAGGACACTAGGAGGGTCCTTTAGGGGCTTCATGGGGATGATGGAAACTACGATTTAGGGTTTAGGATTTAGGGCTTATAGAGTTTAGGGTTTAGGGTTTCGGGTTCGGGGTGGAATATGAATATAGGGGTTACCCAAAATTAGAGGTACCCTTTTTGGGGGTCCCAATAACATGGATTATAACATTTTGGGGGTCTCGAGTGTCCCCTTAACTTCGGTAACTAACATATAGGGTTTAGGGTTCAGGGTTTCGGGTTTACTGGGGCTTTGTAGGGAATAAGGGAATATGTTTTTTGGGGAATATACATATATATGTATATGGACTAGCAGATTCTTCCTTGCCTAAGTACCCAGTACCCTAAACCCTAAACCGCGAACTCTAAACCCTAAAAGCAGTAAACCGTAAACCCCTTTTTGAGGGGGCTCTGGGATTAGGGTTTTCCGAGGGCAGGGGGGTTCAGGGAAGGGTTGCTTTTAGGCCTAAACCTAAACCCTAAACCTAAACCCCAAACCGCGTGTTGGGGGTTTAGGGTTTAAGGTTTAGGGGTTTCTTACAGCTTCAACTCCTTAGCCAAGCGGCCGAGTTGTTTCCAGCATACTCCAGCGGCGTGCCATCAACCAGGTACCCTTAGATCAACGAGTTTTGTTAGCCCAACGCCCAAATCAGCCCCGTATAACTGTCATATGAGCTAGAGTCTAAAACTCCTAGTATCCCCCTCAATAATAACCCTGTGGTAATCAACAATCCCCTATATAGACCCCTTCAAGGAGTTTAGACTATAGCCCATGTGATGTTTATGGGGTCAGACTTTAGATGTTGCAGCTACCAAAACCATCGGATCCTTTATGGCTACCGAGTTTTGGATGTCTTGCTTCGGGCGTCGGGCTTCGGGCCCTCAACCCCAAACCCCTAAACTCTAGGGCTTTTCAGGGTTCAGGCCATAGGGTTTGAGGGTCTATACTTATGAGTTCCCCTACTACCCCCCTAGGTTCCCCCCGTAATGAAGGTCATTTAGGGATAGCTAAACCTCATAAAGGGGGAACCTAGGGGGTGAGTATGAAGGGCGGTAGTAAAGAAACCCATGATATCCTGAAGTGAAGATGAGCATTCATTTACTGGAGATTGCCTAAATGCTGTTCCCCAAATGGGGGAGGCAAATGGAGATTTGCAGTTTGGTTGGGACTTAAACAGGAACACCCATATCATTCTATGCGGAGCTTTGGGACCTAAATCCTGGAACCTACAACCCTCAAACCCTTACACCCTATTAACTTCAATTATATACACACTAAACAAAATTGCGTACAGAGCCTCTCTCTCTTCTACTAGTCGCTCCATCCAAGGGCTTAGGGTTGGGGTTTTGAATGCGGGGCCCTTGGTGAAATCAATTTCGCGGACCAGCCGGGGATTATGGCACGAGGGTCCCCAGATTTTGAGAAAGCCATGTTCTACAGCACAGAAATAAGAAAATGACGTCACGGACAAGAGGCCGACATCAGCGGCATAAATGGAGGCTGGCAAAGGTGCACCCGGGGTGTGCATGTCAGGCTGGATGCTCTCAGGATGATTGATGGCATTGCCTGCACGGTTCAGGGGCGTGCCGTCCGGAAGGTAGCCAACCGCATTTACGAAGTTGGCACGGGGCAATGCAGATCCAGGAGCATGGCGGTCAGGGCCGATGTTCTCCGGGTGGTTGATGGCATTTCCTGCGCGGTTCAGCGGAGTGCCATCCGGCAGGTAACCCACATCGTTGCAGAACTCCAACTCCGCGTAGGCATCCTTCTGGAAGCTGTACTCAAACTTGCGGCCATACATGGCTGTTCCCTGGCTGGTTGGGGCAGCGGTGGGTGGCGGAGCGGAGGCAGCCATGGGTGGAGGAGAGGGGACACTGGAGCCCACGAAAGCAGCCGCAGCTGCAGGTGGTGGTGTTGCCGCAGCGCCCTTCACAGAGTTGTTGCCGGCAGTGTCCAACGGGGTTCCATCCACCAAGTAACCGACATCAGCGGCATAAACGGAGGCTGGCAAAGGTGCACCCGGGGTGTGCATGTCAGGCTGGATGCTCTCAGGATGATTGATGGCATTGCCTGCACGGTTCAGCGGCGTGCCGTCCGGAAGGTAGCCAACCGCATTTACGAAGTTGGCACGGGGCAAGGGAGATCCAGGAGCATGGCGGTCAGGGCCGATGTTCTCCGGGTGGTTGATGGCATTTCCTGCGCGGTTCAGCGGAGTGCCATCCGGCAGGTAACCCACATCGTTGCAGAACTCCAACTCCGCGTAGGCATCCTTCTGGAAGCTGTACTCAAACTTGCGGCCATACATGGCTGTTCCCTGGCTGGTTGGGGCAGCGGTGGGTGGCGGAGCGGACGCGGCCATGGGCGGTGGGGAAGGAACACTGGAGCCCACGAAAGCAGCCGCAGCTGCAGGTGGTGGTGTTGCCGGAGCGCCCTTCACGGAGTTGTTCCCCGCAGTGGCCAGGGGCGTGCCGTCAGCCAGGTAACCGATGTCCGCGAGGTAGGACGAAGGCGGCAAGGGGGAGCCTGGCGAATGAGGGTCCGGCTGCATGGTCTCAGGATGGTTGATGGCATTGCCAGCCGCATTCAGCGGCGTTCCATCGGGGAGGTATCCAACGGAATTCACAAACTTAGCGCGGGGAAGTGGGGATCCAGCCATGTGCTTGTCCGCGGCAATCGTCTCCGGGTGATTGATAGCGTTGCCCGCTTTGTTAAGCGGGGTCCCGTCCGGCAAGTAGCCGACATCGTTGGTGAACCTGACAGCTGCTCACAGAGCCAAAGAAACTCTGAACTATGCAGTGCACCAAAACGCACCCTGAACCGACCAAAGAGAAGGTCTCTACGACAGCTGGCCATATGGTAGTTTCCTCAAATAGGGGGACCCCATTATAAGTCCCAAAACTACTATAATGCTTCTTATGGGTACCCCCAGAAAAGGTACCCCCTCATTTTGGGAAACTCCTATATAATGTCATGCGGCCCCTCTCCTCCCTCCTCTTCAAGAAAAGGGACTCCAAGTCGGCGTAGACATCCCGCTGGAAGGCATATGTTGCATCTTTCATAGGAATGTTGGACCTCAGCCGCTTATAACTGACATGGAAATTGGGTGGGCACGCTGATTTTTAAGTATCAGAGCCCTTGCTAGTCTATTTATATGGGTGCTTCTCCATTTTGGGTACCCCTCAGGCCCCGATAGAAAAACGTGGAGATTATACTTATGGGAGTTCCTTCTAAGAATGATTATAAAGCGTTGTTTTCATTTCCAGACGTAAGTGGTCGCAGTATGGACAGCAATATATGCTACGATCCTTATCCTTCTTTTTCAAAGACCAGGCCCTCCAAAAATCAAGCTTTTTAGAATTCCAAAATCTACAAACACAAAAAAAATGCAGGTTCTCGCCTAGAGAAAGTGAGGTAGCTACTATAGGAACCATTTCAAACAAAATCTTTCTGCAAATTGTTTGAAATCAAAATCTTGCGAAATCTGACGATATCTGAAATACTATGAAATCTTATGCAATCTCATGAAAACGCCTGAAAACGCCAAATGTTTTCTACTCCCCAAAACCCTAACCCCTAACCCTGTGGGGGTTACTTGAAGGCTACGAATATCTGCGCCAGCTTGCAATTCCCCAAATGAGTAATAATACTACTAATAATACAAATAATCTTAGTAATACGAAAGCTAATAAATAGTAATAGTACTAGTACTAGTAGTGAAAATACTAATAATAGTAAGTAGAGTACTGACAGCAAGGTTGTTTCTGTAGTTATGCTAAATCCTAATCCTAGGCCCTAACCCTGAACCCTAAGCCGTAAACCCTGAGCCCGAAACCCTTAAACCCCAATCCCTAACCCTAGGCCCTAAGCCCTAAACCCTCAACCTTTAAATCCTAATCCCTAAACCGCGGTGTCCAACCTCAGGGTCCTGCTTGCTTCCTTAAAATGCGGTGCTGATGTACTCTTTCTAGGTTGCTCGATAGGCTATTAGTCCCCCTTAAGTAGATAGAATATGGGATACATGGGGATCTTAGTATATAATACCCAAAGCCATATTCTATCTGCTTAAGGGGGATGATCGGTTTAGGGCTTGCGGGTTTAGGAGAGAAACTCCCATATTACGTGGATATGAGTTGGGCTTGGGCCTTCGTAGCAGCTGTGAGAACGACACATCTGCAGAAGCTTGGGAAAGCATTGTAAGCTATGTTGGGTACTGGCCCCCACGCAGCCAAGGTCTTGCAATAGGAGCAATACAGGGCGCGATATATATATGTATAGATATATATATATATACATGTTGGATCTCTTAGGAGGACCCCCAACCCTGTAATAGTGGTAAGATATGAATAGAATAGGACCTTAATGTAATCCCTTATTATCCCTTATAGCCACTATTACAAAGTGGGGGGTCCACCTAATGGATCTCTATTATCCAACTGTAGCTGTTGTTGGGTGTCCAAATGTAGGGACTCTTCTAGGGGCTCTATACTAAGGATCATAATATGTTGGGGTCTATATTGAGGTCTCCTTTTTTGAAAAGCTACCAATTCTGGTCCTCTAAGCGTTCTTGGGCAAAAGGCTGAAAGTTTAGGAGTTGGGGCTTAGGGTTTGGGACAAACGGAATAGGAATTGGGGGGTATCTTAGGCTACAATTATACAACGATGTGGATAAGTCTTACTACCGCAGCTCCTAAGGCTTCAGCTGAAATTGGGCACTTCGATTTCAGACGGACTTCGTTCTCTGGGGCTTGGCACTGCCAATAACTACACGTCATCTGCTTCTATATCCTTAGAATTAACTGTAGTCTCCTTAGACCTATAATCAAATTTCATTGTTTTACTAATTCCTTAGGGTTATACTATAATCAGGATTAGACTAACTCAAGGAGACTTTACCTAAAAATATTGATCTGCATAACTCCTACATGGCCTGTTAAGCCTGACTTATGGCGACCGTGAACCATAAAGTCGTATGCAAAAGTGATCAGACGGGCTGACATTGCAGACCCAAAAACCTTGAAATCCCAAACCCTAGGGCTTAGGGTTTGGGGTTTCCAACACCCCCAGGGGTTTAGGGTTTAAAGGTTCGGGTTTAGGGTTTAGGCAAAACCTGCCTCAACCTTATGCAGGCCGGTGCACTGGGCCTTCTTCTTGGAACGGCCCATCATGACCTGCAACGCGCTGCCCTAAATCTTAAGCCTCAAACCCCTAACCCGAGAATCATCTGCAATTGAATGCCTAGATCCCTACGTCTACCCTCCTTATAGCGAACCTAGTGTTAGATATGGACTGCAGCCAATATTCCCCAAATAATTAATAGACATGGGCTTTCCATTGGGGAATATATTAGGGACTATACTACCCTACAAACAGGACCCTATGTCCTCCCTTAATGGTCCCTTGGTAACGCCAGTATTGGCAGCGGCTCACGTAAACACTACATTAGTAGACACAAAGTTACCTTCCCTTGCCGTTTGCCCATAGCCCCTGAGCGCATCCACAGTAAGAATGTCCATGGAAAACGCCAACAACCGCAAGAGCACTGCTATTGACAGCCTACGATGGCACTGGCGAATGCAGCCGGGACCCAGAGCTACGTCCACCACGACCGCATCTACAACATGTGAACCGATGCCGGCACCATACCACATCCACGACCACGAAAAAAAGTGTATCTACAGCGCATTCCCCTGATGCGGGCAACTGGCGCGGGCAAATGGGCGAGTCGACGTAAAGTTCGGTACCCTTAAAAAAAGGGGTAGGTATAAGGGTCTACCTGAATGACTGTCCACCATAATAAAGGCCAGTCTACACCCCCCCCCCCCCTTCGCGACAGCCCTGGCAAGGCTGTGCGCGCTAGCGCCGGCAGACTCTTGGCAATCCTACCAGTAAACAAATAAGAGGATTTTGGGAAACTCCGGTCCCCATAGGACCCTAAACATCAGTCATATTATATGATACGAAGCCCACCGTTCCTCCTGTCGCTTTCGTAGACAGATCATGCTCTGGAGAACCTTCCAACTGGCCTTGAAACATCTGTACACCACTATCCCCCCCAAGCCAGTTTTGGGGAGGGAGCATCCCCCAAATCCTCAATCCTCCATAAACGAGAATCAGATCGAAAAAATGAACATGAAGCGGAACCTGCACTTCTGTAGGGGCATATAGAGTTGATACTACGCGGTTTAGGGTTCAGGGTTTCGGGTTTAGCGTTGACCCTAAGTGCTTTAGGCCTTGGGACTCCTGACATTTTGGCATAACATGCTGCAAAAGACATAATATCAACAGATGTTACAGGGATGCACTTTACAACTCATCCGTAAGCACAAGTATGTCAACTGTAGACCCCTTCCTTATACTCAGACCTTAGACCCTAAACCGAAGCCTAAGTATGCCAACCTTGAACCCTTGACCCTAATAACCCTTAGACCTAAAACCTCAAACCTTAAAACCCCCAAACCGAACCCTAAACCCTTGACCTTGAACCCTACACCCTAAACACTAAGCCCTAAACCCTAAGCCCTACACCCTCAGCCCTAAACCCTACACCCCTAAACCCCACAACCCCACACCCTAAACCTTCCAAGTAAGCCAACCGCGCCATCACGGGGGCGACAAGTCCGGCAGCCGCAAGCGGCCACGAGGATTGCAAGGAAGCCTCCGTGGCCAGCGTTTGGTGGTTTAGGCTTTAGGGGGCTAGGGGTTTAGGGTTTAGGGATTTAGGGTTTAGGGTTTAGGCTTTAGGGGTTAGGGTTTAAGGGCTCGGGTTTCATTAGGGTTTATAGAGCTTAAGGTTTAGGAGCTAGGGGTTAGGTTATAAGGTTTGGGGTTTAATAGGGGTTCAGCGTTTAAGGATTAAGGGCCGCTAGGGGTTAGGGTTTAGTGTTTTTGGGAAACTACGTGGCAATTCATGGATGGCTACAAGCGAGTATATACGCGCCACAGAATTGCGGTTTAGGGTTTAGGGTTGTCTCAGGTATAACCCCCTCCCAGCCCCCCTAAAGGATCCAAAAAATGAAACCCCGCCAATATGAACCAATTACTACATTGGGAAAACTAGGGGATTATTGGGGGGGGTCCATTTTGTGGGTCCTTTAGGGGGTCTGGGCTTACAACGAGCCATGAACCTTCAAGTAACTTCCCAGAAGGCACACGGAAGCCCAAGAGATGCCATTACAAAGACAGGTGCCCGTATGAGGTTTAGGGTTTAGGGTTGGGTTTAGGGTTTAAGGATTTAGGAGGCTTAGGGTTTAAGGGTTTAGGGTTGAAGGGCTTAGGAGGTTTAGGGTTTAAGGGTTTAGGGTTTAGGGGATAAGGGTTTAGGGTTTAAGGGTTTAGGAGGTTTAGGGTTTAAGGATTTAGGGTTTAGGGGATAAGGGTTTAGGGTTTAAGGGTTTAGGGTTGGTTTTGGGGGCTGCGGGTCGAGTTAGGATGTCCTAAAGGGGGGTTGGTCCAAGGGGGGTAGGTAACCTAGTAGTCCCCATTATTCCTCAATACTCCCTAAGCTTCCTTAAGGTTCCCCAGGGTTCCCTAGCACCCTCCCCCTTAAGGATCCCATAATCTAGGGTTTTTGTCTCGGGGGTTGAGGGCTTGGTCTATGGCACCTACAGGAGCGAGCTCCCAAAAGGAGACGTCGCATACGCCTTAGATGATCCCGACTGCACATGACGCTCGATAACCCATTATATGGCTCTTATGTACCCCCAAACTTGCTTCACCCTATACCCAAGGGGCCTGAACCCTAAACATTAAACCCAAATTTGCAGATTCGCCCTTAAACTTAAACCCTATACCCTAGGGGAAATCAGCAGCTTACTGCTTCAAACTCTGCACCGTAGACCCTAAACCAAAGAACCTGGACCTAGCATCCTCGTGTCGTCCTTGTTGCTGCTCAAGTACTTCGTAAAGGCCCAGCATTTGAGAAGCTTCCAAATCCTTGCTCTAAACCCTTAGCCCCAAATCCTAAGCCCTGAACCCTAAGCCGTAAACCCTAAACCTTAGCACTAAACCCTAAACCGCTAAACCCCTAATCCCCCTAAAGCCCAAAACCTTAAACTGCTGTGCAGGAACCTTGCCAGGGGCAGCATCGGCTTTGGACACCTAACAGCACGGAGACACAGGGTTTAGGGGTCTAGGGTAGAGGGGTTAAGGGTTTAGGCGTTTAGGGGTTTGGGGTTTAGGGTTTAGGCGTGTAGGGTTTAGGGGTTTCGGGCTTTAGGGAATTAGAGTTTGGGGCTGAAGGTTTAGGGCTTAGGGTTTAGGGGGCGGACCCGTTTCTATCCGACACAAATCGAGAGTCTAGGCTCTAGCTTTTCAGGTTGCCAGATACCAGTAATGAGAATGAGAAGTATAGCATACTGCACCCACCAGACCTATGATGAAACTAGGATGTTCAACAATTCCTTAGGGGTCTGCTAGAACAAGAATTAAAGAATCCTGTTCTAATGGGAGTATGTTGGGAAACGGGAATATGTTGGGGTATAAAAGGGGTCCTCCTGTTTTTGAAAACTCTGACTTTCTCTATCGCATGATTCACACTTACCAGGGTGCTTGTCCTCTCCCTCCATTGATGGAATGCAAGCTTTAAAAAAAAACGTAAACCACAAACCCTATACCCGATGTTTATCACCATACCCCACGGACATTTCTGCCAGTTGCCGTGGCCGCGGAGGCATTGTTCAGGTTTCTAGGCTCCTCAGGAATTCTTTGACAATAAGGGTGCCCTTTTCTTATTGTTCAGCTTTAAGAAGGAACCCCCAAAACAAAAGGGAAAATGGGTACTACTGGAATACCTAGGCTTGCTGGCCCCAAGCAAAGATGGGACGTGTAACCAGGCCGGGCACATTGTAGACTATATGTCTTGACTTGGTCCTGTTGTCGCCGCAAGGCGAGAACTTCGGCGAGACAGAGAACTGTAGGACCGATTCGAAGATCCATGCCGCATGAAAGTTTTGGTAACCTAGTGAAGCTGTTGCTCCTGCTACGTGCTGTGGCAAACTTGCGGTTATGTAATGATCTTCCATGCAAAAGGGAAGCCCACTTAGGATTTAGGGCTTGCTTCCATTACTTTATCTGCTCTTTAAGGCAACTCCTCCCCAATGGTATCAAGCCAAGCCGGGGCAAGTTTGAGTGTCCTGTAAAACTTATTGTTGCAATGGCTGAAGGTCATTGGCCTCGTCCCTAAACCCTAAACCCTAAAGTGGATTCCATGGGGATAGGGTATTAAGGTCCAAATATTAGGGACCACGGCCCAACTCCTCTTACCTGAAGGTTCATGGAACTTAGTGACTACGTCTGACTGGGGGTACAACCCTGCTGGACTTATGTAGGTTACCCCAACCACAAGAAGGTTATAAGCCCGGTTATAAGTAGCTACTCAATCCCATGAAGCTTCAACTACACACCAATGAGCTGATCGGTGTTTCAGGTTTAGGCAGCAGTGGCAGTGACTACAGTCTACACTTGGACTACCATGATGTGATAACACGGACGTAGAGCAAACCACAACAAAAAAAGAGGGCAGCGAAAAGTCCAAAGAAGTGGGGAACCCTCAATTTGCGGTCTGCTGCCGAGTAAGGTAATGTACGACCTCACCATATGAGCGACAGCCAGTATTTCCTACATAACTTACTGGACATGGGTTCCTTACTAGGTGCGAGCGTATGGACCGTACTAAGCTACAAGAAGGACCCCGATGTCCACTGAAAAGTGTAATAGCCCTGAACCCTAAATCCTAAGCTATAATTCTACATACTTGAATAGCGTTTTTTCTGATGGTTGAACCTAGTAAGATCATATTCCTTATATAAAATACTATAACCAAAAGGAGGATAGAATCTTACTCTATATTGCGTACCATAGTATCCCAAATAAAATACTACTCACTTGAGGGTTCCAGGGAATAATGCCCAAAACCCTCAACCCAACAAACCCAGACCCTAAACCCTAGACTGGGGAAGGTCGGGGGGCCCTAAGCCCTAAACTACTTTTAAGGCATCTGAGGGTTTGGGGTGCAAGGGTTTAGGCTTTAGAGTATATGAAGGTAACACAAATTCACAATGACCTTCAAATCTTGTAGACGCACAATCCCCTACACCCTAAACCTGAACCCTAAACCCCAAACCCGGATGATTGGCGGCCTGGGCAGCGACGCCCGGGCGCAGGTTGGCAGAGGGAGCGATGGCGAACGCCACAGAGCTGCCGGCGCCACTCAAAGCCATGAGTACCTTACAGTTTGCGGTTTAGGGTTTAGGGTTTAGGGCTTAGGGGTTAGGGTTTAGGGTTTAGGGTTTACGGTTTAGGGTCTAGGGTTTAGAGCTTAGGGTTTAGGGTTATGTCAACTCAGAAAAGGGATGCCTACCTTTGTGTGGTAGCCAGCTTAATAGCTAAGGGTGTAGGGTTTTGTTTACTTAGTGCACTTGTTTCTTTCTTTTTGTTGGGGAGGGGGTGTACCTAGCTTTATGGCTAGGATCCTTTGTTGTGGAGATGGTCTACCTTAAAGAGGCCAACTACACAAACGGTTTTGGGTCTAGTTTTACGCAGAAAGTTGCGCACCTTCATAAGAGCGGGATTCAACGATGTTTTATTGGTCTAGGGCCTCTTTCCAGCGCCGAAAAGACTAGGGGGATATCCCTAAACCCTAAACCCTGAACCCCAAACCCTCAGGTGTAAAAAGCTTCATGATCCCTGTAAATCCACCCAAAAAGGCTTTATTGTTGAGAGAAACCTTGATCCGTCAGTTGAAGTTGATTAAGGTTTACCTGAACCCCAAAAATATTTAAAATAATAGCCCCGCACCCCTCAAAATAGCCGAAAAGGCTCTAATTCTACATACTTTAGGGGTCCAGGTATGTGGGGACCTTGTTATGATATACCCAAAAGCCATGTTCTATCTACTTAAGGGGAACTATAGGGTTTAGGGTTCGGGGCTAAACCCTAAACCCTAACCCCCAAACCCTACCCTGAATCCCATGCATGGAAGCAGCCAGGACGAGAACGCTTGCCGCTTCTCGCAAGTAATTCCACGCTTTGCTTTCTTGAGCACGGCAATGCCTTGAGCCAACAGAAGCACATGCATGGAGTAGAGGCAGGGTTTGGGGTTTAGGGTTTAGGGTTTAGGAGTCGAGTAGTTTCCATGCTCTGGAAGCTATTGCTTCCAAGCCCCTCCACATATTCCCCCTAGCCTAAGCCCCAAACCCCTAGTAGGGCCATAGTGCCGTATTAGCCGGCACTTCATGCCATGATGTGGTGCAGTTGGGGGGTCTTGGGTCTGCATCAACAGAGTGCGCAACATCATATGAGCTATAGTCTAAGCCCCTAGTATCTCCCTGAATGACCCCTATAATACTCTCCTATATGATACAATATAAGCCCCTTTAAGGAAGTTACACTATAGCACATATAGTTAATTCCAAAGCTTAATCCCCGGATCCTAAATCCTACACCCTTTGACCCCTGCACGCTAAACCTGGCTTTGCACTAGGGCATGACAATCTTCAGAGTGTAGGGTTTAGGATTTAAGGTTTGGGGTTTAGGGATTAGGGCTTGGGATGTAGGGGTTTGGGATATTGGGTGCCAGGCTTTAGTTTAGTGCTTTCACTGATTTTGGGGTGTCCAAGGGCCTTTATGAGGAGTCCCTAGAAGGGACTCCAAATCCCATCACCTTCTAGAACCCAAATGGATTGCTCATACATCCCTGGCTTGATTTGCGCGCATGGCCCTAGCTAAAAAGCCTAAACACTAAATCCTCATCCTTAACCCTGAAAAAACCCGCCTAAACCCTAAACCCTCCCACCCTGTGGAACCAGGTAGTCCCCATCTTACCCCTCACAAGCCAAAGGGGTCCTCACGAAGGGCCATTCCTAAAGCCCCAGGGGTTTGGGATCCAACGCTTACAACCTTTTTAAGTAAGGACCCAAATAATAGGGTTTTTAGGGTTCAAATACTATGATATCAATGGTATTTGGGCCCTAAAACCCTAGTATTTGGGTGTCCAAAACGTCTGGGGCCCCCAAAATAGGAAATAGGACCGATGCACCCAAGGGAGGTTGAGAATTGAGGTTTAGGGTTTAGGACAGAACAGAATTGAGGTTTAGGGTTTGGGGTTTAGGACAGAACTAGCAACTTCCATAACTTGTACGCGCAGAATTGTTTTCGAGCACTCGCGCGGCTTCATTGCGACATTCACGAAAATGCTTGTATCAAAGCGTGGCCACAAATTAATGCGGTCGGCCCTGTCCAACTTGAAACGCGCCTTCGTTGGGAAAGCTGCCTTCAGCTTTGTCTTCCAAAGGCTCATGACGACTGGGAATCCAAGAGGCCACGTGGTAGGCATATCGCACCAGTCAACTAGCTACTCGATCAGTACGGCCCAGCGGACGGCACACAAAGGTGCTTGTCCAGAGATGCTTCTTGGACTCTTGAAAGCATTGCGGTATGAAACTACTAGTGACTTCTTTGGGCGTTTCCCAAAGTCTCGCACCTGCATGCGCTCAAAAGTGGCGGCCAGCGCCCAGCGCCCGAATGGTCTCAAGAGCTGTCGGCTATATGTGCGGAACAAGCGCTTGCAGGGCCAGTGCTTGTGAGAAAGGCCAGGTCACTGGACGGAGAGGTTGCCCGCGCGGTCCATGGGCGTGCCGTCGACGAGATAGCCTCAATGCAGAGTCCCCCTTAAGCAGATAGAATATGGCTTTGGGTATATTATATTAAGATCCCCATAGACGGCATATTCTATCTATGGGATATACGGGATTTCTCGTTATGGTTATGGTCAGTCAGATCCATTTCTATATATCTTCTTCTATCTACTAAACGGGGACTCGAAGCCCATCCCCCCCACAAAACAGACTGTCCCCATCCGAGTATTCCTAAAAGACCTGGTAGTGGTAGACTGGCAAAACTTCTATGTCTGTTCTTACTTTTATATTTACTGTTACTATTACGATGATTACTATTACGAGCATTGACTACATCAGGATTATTGTTACTATTATTACGATCACCATTGCTATTGATTATTTGAAGGCGGTATCGATTTAATACGGGGGGGCTACTTGGCTACAGAGTGATGTCAAGCATCGCATCCAAAACCACCGGAGCCTTTATCACCTGGCACTGCGTGTGTCCCTAAACCCTAAAACCCAAACCGCGTTCGGGGGTCCCAGTCTACTCCAACACTCTCTAGCTGACAGGGGCAGTGCGGTGTTCCTCCCCCAGACTGCCTTGGTCTCGAGAATGAAGGTAAATCTGCAACATGGTCTAGATACTAAGAGGTTTCTGATAACACCACATCCAAATTCGGACCGTGATATAATCACATGACGTGTATAGCGTCCTATTTTGGTGCCCCGAACCCTAACCCTCACTTAAGGGGCCTACAAGTGCAGCTTCAATGCGAATCCCAACTGCAAGCCTTACCTGCCAGGGTTTGGGGTTTAGGGCACGGCTTAGGGTTCACGATTTAGGATTTGGCATTAAGAACTTGGGTTTAAGCGCTCAAAAGACAAGGTTCCCCTCCTAGTTAGCTGCATTTGATAATGTCTCCCTAAGAGGGACCCGTGTTATCCCGTTGTAAGCGCCATATGTATATATATATATATGTATATAAATATACTATTATGTACGCACGTACGACGTAGACCCACACGTCCGAACCTGAAGTCGTCCCTAATCCAGCCAAAATTATTACGTAAACCCCACTCACAAAACCCTGTATATAGTTCTTAAAGCTTTCAGCCCTACCCCTAAATGCGACCTCTATCTAACTTATACTCCCTAACCTAAGCCCTGAATCCTAGATCCTTAAACCAGAACCTCATCGAAAAGGAAGGGATTTAACAATCTAAACCCTAAACCTTAAACCCTACAACGCTAAAGCCTAAACCCTAAGAATCCAAAGCCCAGCAGCCTACATCAGCTGCATAAGTCGAGGCAGGCAGGGGCGCGCCAGGGGTGTGCATGTCTGGCTGGATGGTCTCCTGGGCTTTAGGGTTCAGGTTTTTTGGTTCAGGGCTTAGGGCCGAGGGTTCAGGGTTTGGGTTTCAGGGTTTAGGGTTCAAGGCTTAGGGTTTAGGGTTCAGGGCTTATGTCTCCTTGGCTTTAGACAGGGCAGGGAGATTGGGGGCATAGGCACATAAAACCCTAAACCCTAACCGCGTGTTTCTCAAAAAAAGGAGCCCCTGAGGGACGCCAGGGATGTATAGTCCCCCTTAAGTAGATAGAATATAGGGTTTAGGGTCTAGGATTTAGGGTTTAAGGTCTAAGGTCACCCTGGAGTAGGTGGAATATGGCTTTGGGTAATCATATCAAAATAAGACCCCCGTATGCCCCATATTCTATCTACTGAAGGGGGACTATATACCGACTACTAAGGGAGCACGGGGGTCTCTATTCAGGATCACAGTTGGTTTATTTCGAGAAGCTCCCATGTATGTACAAATTATACATATTTACATGTATAAGATCCCAATGTAGGGCTCAGAGTTTAGGGCGAAAACTTTGGGGTTTGCTGTTCAAACATGGTTTCCCAGGCTTAAGAAACGCACACCTAATTCTCAAAGCAATCTAGAACTGAAGCCCTAAACCCGATACTCTAAACCCAAACCCTGAGCCCTTAACCCAACATCCCTAAACCCTGAACTGAACCTCAAACTGCTCTGCGAACATTTAATATCGGCGGCGACCGAGTTCCCTACATCCTAAACCTGCCAGGTCCTAGTGAACCTGACCAAGCCTTGGGGAGTACTAGGTAGGATTGGGGAGCGTTCGGTTTGGGGTTAAGGGTTTCGTATTTGGTTTAGGGTTTAGGCTTTAGTATTGGGAAAGAACAGTGGGGTAAAGGGGCAATTGGCCGTGAACTTCAATTAGAAGAGGGATCTGGGGTGTATGATATTATATGAGCTATAACTATACAATCTAAACTCCTAGTATCCCCCTTTATACCCTCTATAGCAGTTCCGTATGTAATCCACTATAAAACCCCGCTGTAAGGAGTTTAGACTATAGCTCATCTATTTCATGAGGCTGAGAAGGCGTGACTGTTGGAATGATTGGAGACAAGCATCAACTCTTTGCTCTGGAGACCTGTTTAGGGTTTAGGGTTTAATGTTTAGGGTTTAGGGTTTAGACGAATTGTCATTGTTTCCTCCGGTTTATATGAGCCTCCGTCTAAACTCCTAGTATCCCCCAAGTAACCCCTATAATACTCCCCCATATAACCCTCCCCTTAAGGAGTTTAGGCTTTCGCTCATATTAAGACAAATATTTAGAAACATCTTCATGAGTCCGTAATAAGTGCAGGATTGACAAAACCCTAAACCCTGGACCCTACAACATTGAACCTCAAACCCTACACCCTTTCAAGCCTATGGGTACGTACATATGCCATGACTTGGGGTATTTCCAAAGAGTTTGGGGTTTGGGATCCGAAAGCCGCTAAATGCCAGGTTTGGATACACTACATAGGTACACCCTCAACCCTATATCAAGGGTGTCAGACTTGTACCCCTAGGGTTGTACCCCTGGGTTTTGGGATCCTTGTAAGGCACCCTAGAAAACCCTAAACCCTCAACCTTAAACCCTAAATCCTATATAAGGGCTATATTAAGGCCATTTTGAGGAAACCTTTTAGGCGTACGACCTTAGGGGTACAACCCTGAAACCCTTGACTATATGAGCTATAGTCTAAACTCCTAGTATCCCCCCTAATAACCCCTATAGTAGTCCCATACATAATCCCCTAAATTAAGCCCTTCAAGGAGTTTAGACAATAGCTCAAAAACCCCTACCCTAACCCCTAAACCCTGAACCCTAAACCAACCCTTGACTACACCCCTAGAGTCCGATCCCTTTGCGTTTAGCTTGCAACGTCCAAGCGTCCGGGTGGTTGATAGCATTGCCCGCCTGGAACCGGGGGGTAGGTTTTAGGGTTTAGGGGTTTAGGGTTTTAGGGTTTTGGGGTTTCGGGTTTAGGGTTTAGGGGTTTAGGGTTTAGGGGTTTAGGGTTTAAGGTTTAGGGTTTAGGGGTTCAGGGTCTAGGTTCCCGCAGGAACCTCTGATTAATAAAGATACCCTTTCTCCCAATGCTCAGCTTTACTAGGGAGACCCTAAAATAAAAAGGGAAAAGGGTACTAGTGGGATACCTAGTTGTAGGGCCTACCCCAAACCCTAAATCCTAAAACCTAAAGCCAGAAAGGTTTGGGTTTAATGTTCATGTGGGTTTAAGGTTCACGGCTACCAAGTTCATGTTGAAGAAGTCCACCTGACGTACCTTTTTCCATAATTCTAGACGGAACCTGGGACAATAGCGGTTCAGGGTTCAGGGTCGAGGGTTCATTTGTACCTATCAGTCCATAATCCCAGTTTCCATGTCAGTTTACATGTACATAGGAGCCCTTGGGTAAACCCTAAATCCTGCGGTTCGGAGTCACTCCAAGACTTGCCGCGGAAAGCTAATCAGCCCTGAGCATCCATATCAGCCACAATCCACGTTTCCTACATGTCTGGGTTGCTGTTAAGGAACTTAAATTAAGTTACTATATTGGGGAAACCCTATTATTTACTATATATACCCATTATGGTAGCTTAACTTAAGTTCCTTAACAGTAACCCAGATTTGTGAATGGGCATGGGTTCCTTATCAAGAAGCTTGACGGAGAGCTTTGTGAAAGGATGACGAGAGCCTTCATCTCCACAAGACGTATATAGACGAAATAGCAAAACGCACGGCAATTGGGGCTCAGCACTTTTGGGGCTTTAGGTTTTTAATAGGTTTATCATCCAAAAACCCTAAACCCTAAACCCTAAACCCTGAACCATGGATCACCATCTATGTCATGCCTCACACCGGACCGGCCCTGAGCCCGCCGTCAGCTTCCGTATCACGACATCACATTCCGAACTCTTGGGCTTCCCATGCTACTTACCCTTGAAGGGGTTTTAGGGTATAGGGTTTAGGGTTTGTTTAGGGTCAGGCTCCCAAAAGGCCTCACTGGACTATTTTAGGGACTGTACTAAACTGCTAGAGGGACACCTATGTCCACTGTTATGGGTCCCTTCAGAAGGCGAATATTGACAATCTCATACAGGACACTCATGTTCTTCTCTTCAAAGCCAGGTAGAGCCAAACCCTGACAGTTCTGAACACCTCCCTTAATCTCTACACTCCATCTTAACTTTAAGCCTCAACACTGTAAGTCCTAAACCTGAGAACCTTAAGAACCGGAAGCTCTCTGAAGCCCAAACAACCCTAAACCCTAAACCTTCACCGCTCCCACCTTGTTCAGGGGCGTTCCATCAGGCAGGTAGCCCACCTCAACAAGCAGAAGCATCGCATCTACCACCAGAAGTTGGTATGGGAGTTTCTCAAACCTACGGTCCCAAGTACTGTCCCAAACTAGGGTTTAGGGTGTATAGGGTTTACGGTTTATAGGGTTTAGGGTTTGTAGGGTTTAGGGTCTAAGGTTTTGCAGGGACCCCTTCAAAAAAAGAAATCCCCATCATCATGCACCGATCGATGGGATCAATGGGTTGCAATTGAGTCGCTTTTTGGTGGTTGAACCAAGTAAGATCATTGTCCTTCTTTAAACTACTATACCTCAAAAGGAGGATATATTTTTGCTCTATACTGGGTACCACAGTATCTCAATTGTTCAGGCTCTGGGTGTCTGACGCATGGTTTAGGGGGCCCTGATGACATATCATCCTTTAGAGTTCAGGCTCTAGGGTTCAGGATTTAGGGTTTAGGGCTCAGGGTTTAGAGTTTAGGGTTCAGGGTTTAGGGTTCAGGTTGAGGGTCTAGGGATTAGGCTTTAAGGCTTGGGGAACACGGCCTGGAATAAAGCCATTTAGGGGGGACATTGCACGTTAACTCTCCAAGCCCTAATCACGAACCTCCCCACCCCTAATGAAGACACATATATTCCGAACATTGTTCCATGATTTAGCATAGGTTCCCAATTTATGGCCTACCACATTGGACATCGAATGCATACGGTCAAGAATGTTCCTAAAGAACTTCGTACAGACTCACCGAAAACCCAGGATAGAAACATGAAAATACCCTACGGTGAAAAACAGTGGGAATATTGAAGAATGGGGAGAAACGTTTACTATTCGCTGAGGATTCAGGGGCATCTATGGCAATCTCCTAAAATCGAGGGGCCCAAACAGTGTACCTGGCATTGGGGGCCCAGTGATACAATGACATTGGAAAACCCTAGACCTTTAGGCTTAAGGGTGAGGGTTTAGGGTTTAATCACTTGTAACCCCATCTGCACATTTTTTGTGTAACTAACTAAGTAGTACTTCCACCATAATTAATTAACAGGAATAACCCATAAAGATGTAGGCAGTTGGGGTTGCTGGTATATAGAACAACTCCCTTTTGGACCTTTTCTCCAGCTCTGGGGCTATCTTACCGACCCCAGTCCCTAGTACCTGCGCTGGCTCCCTCCCAGAATTAAGTTCGGCTGGTAATTCGGGGTGTGCATAAGAAGCAATAAAAGAAACCGCTCTCTGGCCATTCCTAGCATAGTTCCCCAACAGCGAAAGGCTCCATCCCGAAACTCTACAACCCAGCTCCTAATCCCCATAACCCCAAGCGCTCTAAACCCTAAACCCCTTAAACCACCTAAACCCTAAACTCCTTGAACCCTAAGCCCCCTACCCTACCTCAATGCCCCCCCACCCCCCACCACTACTAGGAGCCGGGTTGCATCATTGACAAAGTTTGCGCGGGGCAGCGGGGATCCGGGTGCATGGCCTTGAAGAAGCTGGCTGTGATTGTTGTTAGGGTTTGGGGGTTTTAGAGGTGGGGGCCTTGGAGAAATTGGTTGCGGTAATTGTTAGGTTTTGGGGCTTTAAGGGGTGTTGGGACCTTGGAGAGGATCAGAAAAAGCGTAGGGATAAGGAAGTTTAGGGTTCTAAGAGGGTTTAAGGGGCTTTGGTGGTTTAGGGTTTAAGGGGCTTCGGGGTTTAGGGTTTAAGGGGCTTTGTGTTTCAGGTGTTTACATAGGGCTTAGGGTTTAAGATGTTGAGGGTTTACTGGCAACAGGGGACGTACAATGTACACATCTGGGTAAATATGTACACGTCCATGTGTGTATATGTACTTAGAGGCTGTTTATCTAAAGACTCCTGTCTCATGTGCTTAGTTCCTTTCCTTTTTGCTTGTTGTGGATTCTCGGGACGGGGCCGTGGCTTGGGGCTGAGGATTTTTTTTGATGCTTGACCAAGAAAGCGTAATTGCTTCTTATACAAGTACTTTGACCAAAAAAGAAGACATAATCTTACTCGATTTTGGGGGACGTTAAATTCAAACTGAACTACCGCCCTACGGGTTTCTCAAGCTGCTCGGCACAGAGTCCCCCGTATAATCCCTTGACCTCCGAAGAATGCCTCCAGTAATTAGACGCTGCCCTGTGGCGGGGCGACATTCTTCCTCGGGCATCTCTCGTGCGCCCTTTATTCTGCAAGTCCCTACATATAATCTCCATATAACCCCACTATATAGCCTATTATATTATAGTAGTTTCCATGTTCTTTTCCATTATCCCTACATCTAACCCCCATATAACTCCTAATTTCAATAAACCCTATATCCCTAAAAACTTCTAACCGATGCCGAACCCTAGACAAACCCACACCCCAGGGAGGATCTAGGAAGTGGAATCCCCATTCTGGCACCCTGCACTACTATTGGGTATTTCTAGGAACCCTTAAGGAGGATCTACTTTCTAGATCGGCCCAGGGGTCTGGAAGGTGGCGCAAGGTTTTGGTAGGGTTTAGGGATTTAGGGTTTAGGGTTTAGGGGTTTAGGGTTCAGGGTTTAGGGTTAAGGGGTTTAGGGTTTAAGGTTTAGGAAATTCTCGAAGAGGTTGGAAGTGATTGGCTCTCAACTTCGCAAGCAGAACAGAGGTAGATAAAATCCCCATGGGGCTAAACCCTAAAGCCTAAACAATATAAACCCTAAACCCTGAACAGCCTAAACCCTAAACCCCAAACGGCATAAACCCTAAACCCTAAATAGCATAAACCCTACACCCCAAGCAGCCTATACCCAAGACCCTAAGCCCCTCAACCCTAAGCAGCATAAACCCTAGACCCTAAAGCCCTAAACCCTAAACATTACCGGCGGGCTCTTCGGGTAGGTGTTGGGGTCCTGGCTGGGTTTAACTTCAGGGTCCCTCAAGCTTCGGAGCCATGGATTTTTGGGTTCCGGTTGGGTTTCGGGCTACTAGGGCAAGTCGCCCCTAAACCTTTCGCCCTAAACCCCCAAACCGTAAACCCTAGCTCCGGACAATTTTGGCTTCCCTTTTGTTCTACATGACTTGAGTCACTACTGCTTGCTGCGGCCACTTGTATGTTAGCCGAAAACCCCGAAACCCCAAAGCCTGAAATGAACTTAAATGAGCTATCGTCTAAACTCCTAGTATCTCCCTTGATATCCCCTATAAAAGTCCCCTAGATAACCCCCCTGTAAGAGATTTGACCTTAACTCCAACATCCTAAACCCTAAACCCTAAACCCTAAAACCCTAAACCCTAAACCCTAAAACCCTAAACCCTAAACCCTAAACCCTAAACCCTAAACACTAAAACCCTAAAACCCAAAACC